CAGTTTCCATCTTGTATACTATTATTATTATTTTTCCCTCTTTAAATTGGCAATGCTTTGCTGTGATGATCGCCGCCGTCACCAGAGCTAAAAACATACCGTATTTGTGGTACAACACACAGCTGACGGCGCTCAAAGCGTGTTCAATGAACGGATCTTTCTCGAGATCTTCCCACAGGTAAAGTCGACGTTCCAGGGGAATGGGAAGGAAGTACGACGCTAAACCGGTGTAGATCTGCATCATGGTTGACCCTATAGTTTTTGTCATCTCGGCCCCGAGCCGGGTTTCGTACCTTGCATACACCTTATCGATCTCATCGGGAGGCATTTTCTGATTTTTATCGGGAGTGTGGTCGCCGCAAAAGTATTGTTTGGCTTTGCGTCCGACAGCCAGTGCCACCAGTTTATCTCTCTTGTCATCGCTCTTATCATCCGGCGACACCAACATTTGTTCGAGCAGTTCGTTACACTCCTTCTTATAATATAACAAGCGATTTTGAATTCTAATAATATAATACCCCATGCACACAAAACATAGCGAGATAAAAGTTAAGTTACACACGATGAGGATTTCAAAAGTCGAAATTTAATATAAACCCATATCAACATTATATAAATGACATAACCGAGTGACAAGGAAAGTGCCGATTCGCGGTCATAGTGACCAGAAAGTTGGCTGGGGATTCAAAAGTGGTATGCGCACTAGCGGAGAGAGATACAGGCCTGACAAAAGCTTTATTTATGAAATAAAGCTTTACAGAGTCTTTTGTTGGAAGTGATTTCGTACGCCTGTTGTGTATACTACTTTTTTGTATAAAGTCTTTAGGATAAGAAATACAGCAAATTAATATTAGATCTTCAGTATTTATGCTGAAATATTATTTGATAGTTAGCATCTCTATTGTTATTTTACGAGAGCATCTTTTGGTTTCGGCTGGTGACAAGATACCTGTAACAAGACCAGGATAAATACACTTGTTAAACTTGTTTTGTAATATGGGCCATGGCCTTGAATACTTGAAATAAATTGTCATTTTGTCTGTCTGTCAAAATACTAATGATTCACAACCGCGACCTGTCCAAAACACAGATGGCTGATAGTTCTTACGTAAATGTCAGCGAGTACTCTTTCAAAATAATTCGTTCAAAATATTGCACTAAAATTAATTTCTAAAAAACATTTAATATATCGACCTTTTTTTGCCTCTATAATCCCTGTCTGTCAATTGTCTTTTCACTTTTACTTCTCTGTGGTGTTGATCACCATCTTAATCCCGGACCTGTATATCATACAGCACAGGGGCTTGTATTGCTTAAAATAATACGTCCTAGGTCCAACACTCTTTAACTGATAGCCATCTACATATAAAAGAAGGAAAGGGATGTAACGCACACAAAGTTGACAAACATACCACTCTCGTTTCTGGGCGAATTCTGGGTGGGAAACTCTGGAATACACAGCCGGAATTCACGAAGAAATGCTAAGTATTTCAATTGAAAACACGCAATCGGAGATAAAACGTAACTTACCGTAATCGCTAGATATTCCGCTTTCGTATTGTAACCTCTCATATGAAATAAGTTATTGATTTTACCTGTCACACACGACTTTATAAGAAAAATAGCAGTTTCGAGCGATCGAGTCCGCCATGTTTGTCCTTCACTTTCAATCTGCTCGCACCAACGACAAACTGCTCTCTGATTGGTTAAAAATAAAATATCTGTATTTTGTATTATCATACAATGGATTGTGTTCTCGGCAGGATAAAGCCAACGGATATTTTCGGTATCTGTCGGGGTCATATACGGAAATCGATGCAAATTAGAGAGGTCATATGCAAATTTCAGGGACTACTTTCACAGTGTTAACAAACATGGCGTCAAGGGGCGGCGGTCGTGTCCGGATTAACGGCCGTGGTTACGGTACTGTCAGTGCTTTGATCCCAGAAAATCCATGCCTGGTTTTGATAGATGGAAATTCATAGGCTTACGAATATACTAACATCAGTTCCCCGACCGACTGTCAGTGTTAGCGAGAGAACGGCATAGGAATCCAGGTGCACAATGCCACGCTAACATTAAAGCGTATTTTGTTGTTCAAAAGGTTATTTGAAGGTTTCTGAAGTTCCACGCGAATTTGTTGTTATTTTTCAAACGTAAGCTAAGATTTGTTGACAACAATACGTGCTTCAGCATCAAAGCTTACTGGGAACTAGATGACCGCTGAGTGATCAGGAGAAAATTATGTCACCGGGCTTGTGACGTAACGTATTACTCCGCACATATTTGTGACGTCATAGACATTCCACGAAGTTTAATTTCATGATTTGTGGCATTTGAAATCGCATTTTTTTAAATTATAAAGCAAAAATGACATTGTATGATAAATACGTTATCACACTCGTGTGTTTTGGGATGGTTAATATCCTGCATTAGGAATAGACAGTATGTATTAGCTCGCCAAGGCTCGCTAAATACAATGATTATTCCTAATGCAGGATATTAACCATCCAAAAACACACTCGCTTCATAACCTATATTTATTTTCAGCAATACAAGACCCTGTGCCATAACGATTTGAAGATTTATAAATCTTAACGGTCGCACCCCAAAGATAAATTTGATACTGATAGCTTACAGTGACATATATAGTGTAACCATGTCCAGGTGTAATACATTGTATGTGATATTCAGTGAGGGCAGTGGTGTGCTATATTTAGTCTCGTGCTATATTTAGAGTTGTGGGTTGAGTTGAGAGTTGAAATGCCTTTCACATTACATCAAAATAAAAGAGAGATCAGCATTTTTTGTGATCACCATATACCCAGTCAACTCAGCTTAAGCCTTTCTACGTGGCAAACAAGGATAAGTTGAGCACCGACCTGACAATTGACCCGTATTAGCATCTATGAGTGCTGTCCACTGGCGCTTACTATTGTTAGCGAAGAAAACCCCATGTTGTCTGCGATCTAGTGTAGCGAGACTGGCTACAACAACGTGAGAGTGTTATGAGCAAGGCGGGTGCAGCTAAAATCAATTTCATCGTCATGCCCTAGCCTACATCTGCTCTACCTTTCACAAACCAAATGGGTTTGCTCATTGACGTGCTCCCCATACTTCTCGTAAACGCGATCTCTGCACTGGTCCAACTTATCCTTGTTTGCCAGTACTTGGATATACGGTTTCTGAGAAGTGAATATTATCGTCACTGTCTTTATTGATATAATCACTGCTCTTATATTCTCTTCAAAAAAAGAAACTTGACCTAGGAAAATTTAGAATTTTAGGAAAAATATTTGGCACAAACTCACTGTACCTAAGGTGATGCATCCCAACATGGCGGCAGGTAAGATCGCTTGGCGATTATTCCCCTCGAATTAGCAGCCTTCCACCTGTATACAATCAACATTATTCAGCACACTGATAAGCTTTGATGGTGGAAATACATTAAATGTACTGAATTTGCTTATTAATCTCTATGTGTTGAAGAATAAGCATTTTTAAAATCGGGCAAGGATGTCGGTAACTCAAAGTCTGGATGTCGGTAACCCGCAATGAATGATGCTGGTAACGCATACTGTCCTGCTTTAGTCGGTAAAAAGAAGCTGTCGAGTTATGTTTAAATACAAAGGAGATACAAATATCAGTTCTAATGTCTTACATAGCTAAAACGCACCCTACATGTAATGCACTTGCATCATGAAATTGTGTATCAACCTGAGCTGAAGTCTATGACTGTAGGCTTTAAACAGCCACATCAATGGTACTCAACATGCATTGCTTTAAGCCACCATAGACGACAAGAGAATGGAAAAAAACACAAGAAGCTCAACGCCACAACCCCGTCGGCCGTTTACAAGGACGGGCATCGCAGCATGAGGTTGCATGGCCAGAGAGACCATCTCAAACCTATGGACCCGATACAACAATACTGGGAGTGTTAATGACAGACCCAGGTCAGGTCGACCTAGAGTTAAAACCGCCGCCCAGGATCGCTACATCCGGTTGAGACATCTTCATTTAAATGCCACGGCAGCATCATCCACAACAATCCAAATCCCTGGACAGCGCCGAATCTCCGACCAGACATTGCGCAATTGGCTATGGAAAGCCAGACTTTTTGCCAGAAGACCAGATCAACGTCACGTCGTTCCCTTCATCAACATCAACGGTTGATGCTCGACCTCACGTTGCGCGTGTTTTGACAGGACTTCCTCCAGCAAAACAATGTTCAGCTCCAGTTCGCCTTCTCGATCACCCGATTTGTCCCCCATTGAACACCTATGGGATACTCTTGATCGACGCTTGCGCCAGCGTATTCCGCCACCTCAGATGCTACAAGAACTGCCCACAGCACTTCAGTAAGAGTATCAAAAAATTCCTCACGACAGCATTCGGCATCTCCTTTCTTCTATGGGTCACCGTTGCCAAGCTGCCATTGATGTTCATGGTGGTCACACCAGAGACTGAAATTTTACGCTTACCAAGTGGCTTTAATAGCCCTCTGTAGGTTTACCAAACACTTCCTGGATAATAATGTTTTGGAAATTTGTAAAGTGATGATTTTACTGTAATTGAGCAATGATGTCATGTTTGAATCAGTTATATGTATGCAGTAAGTAAACTTCAAAACAGCATGTCAAGTTTCTTTATTTTTTGAAGAGTATATTACATGAATATTACTACTGAACTTGTACTACCATTCATTTTGCACTGCCGTGGAGATACTTTTATGTTGATTTGTAAACTTATAGACTCTGTTAGTTAATTTAACAACTGGGGTGGCCTTACCATCGTGCTACATCCCACCCGTCAACAACACGTGCAAAAGAATGCCTGCGCTTTCGCTTTGGAATTCCTGAACATGGTCCAGTTAGAGCTTTTAGCACATACTGCAAATCTGAGGGAAAATATTGTTCTGAAACATTCTACGTTTTTTTTCCATAACATTCTCCTTGACGTCTTTATCTGCGAATAATGTTTGTGTTTGCTACTTTCAGAACCTTCTGGTGCTGGTGCTACTTTTGGAACTCCGAGTGTCTAAGAATGTTATCACATCAATGCAAGCTGCTAGTCCAGATGCTAGCTACGTTGCAACTGATAATGCAAGTAACGATGAACGTCCGGATGTACGTAATAGTGCAAGTCAAGATACACGCAAAAATGCAGATCAAGATACAAGTGATGATGCACATCAACATGTGAATCAAGATCAGTGTGTGCCGTGCAAATGTCATTTCCATGGAGAGAGAGTAATAGCTGATTGTCGGAAAAGGCGACTTGACAAAGTCCCATCACATCTACTATCCAACATAACTGATCTCAATCTTTCAGGAAACTACATAGGTTGCTTGGAAAATGGATCTCTCAGTTATGCACATCTTACCAGATTGAATGTGTCTTCCAATGGTCTCAATGATATTGAACTTGGCGCGTTTCAAGAGCTAAGAAAACTTGAAGTTTTGGATCTCACTCACAATCATTTATCTCCAGCAAAGGTCTATCGAGACGGGTTATTCAAACATCAGGCCAAACTTAAAGTACTCTACATTAACCAAAATGTTGAATCTCGTCCTTATGACGAAAGCTTAAACCGAACAGCGGAAAGCCGACCATTGACAGACAGCTTAAATTCTAGTTTCATTGAGAAATACATTTACCATATGCATTCTGGAAACCACTTTGGACGAGATGCTTACCCGGGCTGTGCATTCAAATCCTTAATCTCCTTACAGGATCTGCGCATTGATGGACCGAAAGAATTATACTTTGGAAAGGGATTCACATTGAAGCAGCTCCAGTCATTATCACTAGGGGGAGGGTTAAGGACATGTTACACACGTTACTTGAGGAATGACACATTTGAGGATGTGCCTCACTTACAGACTCTAGATGTTTCGTACTGTCTGTTGATTGACATTGAAATATCATCTTTTGAAGTGTTAAAGAATCTTACATCCCTCCTTGTGTCACATAACAGATATCTGGGAATTACCAAAATGGGACAAGCTACGTATGGACTGCAGAATTCGTCTCTGAGAACACTAAGCGTAAATAGAATAGGCCGAATGACGGGGCGTGGTACACTGTTGACAGTTGAAGATGTCAAATATCTAAAGAATACCCAATTAGAAGAATTGCACATTGAAGGAAACAGAATAGAAATGATTGATAAAAATATAATGATTAACCTACCAACGTCTCTCAAAAAAATATCTATCAAAGAGAATCACCTTTTGTTTGGGCTTTACTTGATGGAATTGTCTGTGTTGACAGATTTGGAGTGGGTAGATGCGTCGCATCAAGATCAACCACCAATATCGTTCTTTGACACTACAAGCCTTCATTCACGTCACCTCCTTCAACTGGATAGCTATAACAAACCTATCAGGGGAAATGTTACAATTTATGTGCCTCCAAATGTTACATTTATTAATGTAAGTCATTCAAATATGGCCTATGAAGTCAAGCGCTTCCAAATTGGTGAAAACAAAATTCGGGAGATAGATTTATCGTTTAATTATTTTACCTTGTGGACGGGTCCCATCATAGGTTTAATACACCTAGAAAAAGTACATGCTTCTAACAATTTCTGCGAACACCTTGCTGAAGGAGTTTTTTCATACTTTCCATCCTTGAAGTATCTGGATATCAGTTCCAATTATCTTGGATATATTCTCACGAATGACACATTTAGTGAAATGCCTTTGCTGGAATATCTCGACTTATCAAATAATAGAATAAATTCACTTCCAAAGCTGATCTTCAAAAATAGCAGTCGGCTTGAATTCTTAAAATTAGGTTCTAATTATATGATGTCCTGGAATATCGAAATAATCAATTTCAATATGACAAGCATCAATTTATCAAGAAACGCTTTTGATGAAATTCCATCTCTTTTGCGCCATCAAGTCAGATGCATGGTTAGACGTGATTTTCAGCTTCACTTTAATGACAACCCTCTCAAGTGCAATTGCTTGACATTGAACTCACTGAAATGGATGAAAGAAAATTCTTTTAAATTACCTGGTCTTGATAACATGATCTGCGTGGATGACAGCAACAGACAACTATTCTTGAAAGACATCCATCAGATCGTTTTTGACCTTGACAAAAAGTGTACCTCCTACTTAGGTTTATCTATCGGTGTCTTCTGCCTTGTGATGCTTGTTCTAAGCTTGTCCATAACAGGAATAGGGTACAGGTTTAGATGGAAATTGAGGTATCTTTACTATCTGGTACGAATAAAACACCGGGGTTATCTGGCTGCGGAGGAGGAAGAAGATGGTGGACCTCAGTTTGAGTTTGATGCTTTCATCTCCTATGCTGACGAGGACCGAGGATTTGTTGTGGAGGACATGAGGCGGATATTGGAAGGACAGCATGAACTTCGACTCTGTATCCACCATCGAGACTTTCTTGTGGGGGAAGCTATTGCTGCAAACATCCTGCACGCCATCAGATCAAGCAGGAGGACAGTGATAATTCTGTCAAGGAACTTCCTGAAGAGCTACTGGTGTAAGTACGAAGTGGAGATGGCTAAGATGGAGAGTATCTACACTGGACGGAACACACTGCTGGTGGTAATCCTGGAGAAGATCCCCGTGAAGAATCTGCCCCCTAACATTGTAGAATTAATGCGTCAAGACTCCTACTTGGAGTACACGGATGATCGGGAAGGTCAGGAGGTGTTCTGGGAAAGTCTTCAACGTGCTGTACAGACTGCCTAGTTTTTTGTCTAGATATGGGAGCATGTTACATGTCATTCATAACTGAACTTTCCTTGAACGTTTCTAATTTCATACTTTATGCATTGGTGAATCTTTGTTAAATATATTATGATCGTGTTCATTGAATGCTTTTTTGTGTTTTATTGTTATGCTTGGTTTCTCCTGCTTCTGGATTGTCTCCCCGCTCCAAGTTATCTTTTTCATAAGAACTGATATATCTAACGTGTACCATGCGTGCTTTATGTCGCGTCTATGTTTTCAATCGTCTATACTTTTCGTTACCGTTTTGTTTCTCCTCTATCGTATCACGCTTGCATACAACAAAGGTGGTGTGGCATACTTTGAATTTCAATCCCTTGGTAGCTGTACCGGAATGCAGTTGAACTGTACATCTTAATGACTCTAAAGTGTCTTCCAAGAAGAGTTTTAGACATTGGAAGGTTACGGATATCATTTCATATCAAATAAATGTTGTACGTACTCACCATTATTTCGTCCACAACACAGGGTATGACAAGGGGTTTTGACTTTGATTTGGCTGTCGACTGTACTGAGGACAGAGGTGTGGTTTGCAAAAGTGTCTGACAGATAGTTTCGGGTACATTAATTTTCCCCCAGAAATAGAAGTAGAAACTTATGGATAGCCTTCAAACACTATGTTCCAGCACTAAGCAATGTAAATCCATGTTTGAAGGGATTTGCTTATATTCTGACATGAACATGATTTTTTAATGTAAACTGAACAAACATGTTCTACCCCGTGATTTACTTAAAACAACCACTGCGGTGCAGGCTAGGGCCATTGTCACTAGACCCTATGAATGCTTTTTTGTGTTTTATTGTTATGCTTGGTTTCTCCTGCTTCTGGATTGTCTCCCCGCTCCAAGTTATCTTTTTCATAAGAACTGATATATCTAACGTGTACCATGCGTGCTTTATGTCGCGTCTATGTTTTCAATCGTCTATACTTTTCGTTACCGTTTTGTTTCTCCTCTATCGCATCACGCTTGCATACAACAAAGGTGGTGTGGCATACTTTGAATTTCAATCCCTTGGTAGCTGTACCGGAATGCAGTTAAACTGTACATCTTAATGACTCTAAAGTGTCTTCCAAGAAGAGTTTTAGACATTGGAAGGTTACGGATATCATTTCATATCAAATAAATGTTGTATGTACTCACCATTATTTCGTCCACAACACAGGGTATGACAAGGGGTTTTGACTTTGATTTGGCTGTCGACTGTACTGAGGACAGAGGTGTGGTTTGCAAAAGTGTCTGACAGATAGTTTCGGGTACATTAATTTTCCCCCAGAAATAGAAGTAGAAACTTATGGATAGCCTTCAAACACTATGTTCCAGCACTAAGCAATGTAAATCCATGTTTGAAGGGATTTGCTTATATTCTGACATGAACATGATTTTTTAATGTAAACTGAACAAACATGTTCTACCCCGTGATTTACTTAAAACAACCACTGCGGTGCAGGCTAGGGCCATTGTCACTAGACCCAGTTTTAAGTACCATCTCATCATGTATGTGTTCAGGCAATGACATCTTTCATATCATTTTTGCATAATTGTGTGCATTTATTCCAATATATTATCCACTATATTTATGAACAAACAAATATCTGCAATTGTTAAAAGAACTTTAAATAAATGGTTGCTTTCATCTGTAGAGAAGAGCTGTTTTTTTCTTACAAGAATGAGTGAGTGATTATAAACGCTGCGGTCACCAATATCCCAGCTTAAAGTTTACTTTTAACATAATGGATTGTAAATAATCGAGTCTGAACCAGGAAAATCAATGTATATAATTGCATGGGATAACCAGGCCTTGTTGCAGGAGGTATATCCCACTAAGGTGATATCAATTTATGACAAGTATTTTTAAATGAATAGTCAGTTCAGCATGTGACACTTTCTTTAAAGATGAATGAGTATAAACACACAAATGTATATATTTAGTAAGGACAATTTGTTATTCATGTATTCTCAATTGTGTTATGAGTGACAGCGCCGATGCGATTCAAATAAATACAAACAAAGTACATGTTCAGGAACCCTGTATTACATCGAACAAGATGCCACATGCATGATGTCTGAAACAACCTTCAGGTTAACCGTCCATGGGTTGACATCCGCCATGGTAAAATGATCAATGATTGTTTAATTTCTGCTAGAGTAACATCTAGTCTCTGAAATGAACAATTTTTACCAAAAATGACTTTAATGATACTCATGAAATATAATGACAAGGAGCCCAGAGACGTTCTTTATTTTCCTGAAACTGTGGAAATTTAGACTTGCCACATATTTTAGACTTGCATGGACTTTCTTGGATATATTTGTTTCAGGGTCTGTATGACAGACAAAACTTTGATTTCCTTCTGTGTGATGAAACGCCATGTTAGATCTGTATTCTATATGCGGTTTGCAGGTGTAGCTAGTTTGCATCGGCCACTGCATGATATTATATACTACCAAATCAATTTGAAAATTTGATTGAAATATTTGAACAGTATATGTGATTAAAAGCAAAGAGCCGCTCTTGTCCTTAAACCACGGAATGATTTCTTGCAATGAATATTATTGGATTAATGTGCTGATAATGAAATGCATTCTGCTTTCTATTAATTATTGTTTCTCATGATCCAAAACATACAGGCAAACGAGTAAACCAATTAATAAATTAACCCGCGTATTACATAACGAACTACATTCAAGTGAAGTCACTGTCAACGTTAGCACAGAGGATCCATCATAACATCATGTGTAAGTTTTATTACTTAGAAACATAACTAAATATAAAGGAATTTAAATTGTGGTGCACAATAGACACGGAGTATCCAGGTGGATACAACCCGTTGACATGCCTGACACTGGTACTCAGTACGGAGTAGATCCGTATGGAGGTGGGTACTCTGGGTAAGATGGACCAATGTATCTGAACGCAGCCGGTATGTTGTCTCCCCCGACCGAAGCAGAGTCAATAGGTGGGCGCTTCCTGGAGACCCCAGGTCTGGGTTCAGATCCTGATATGGAGGACGAACTGGGGAAGTGACAGTTCATGGGTGCAGCATTACCTCCCAAGTCACTACCGGGTCTGATTTTGATGGAAGTTTTGAAGGCCGGTCCAAGTGAGCCGTCGGACTTCGTAGTGAATACTTTCTTCGAGACTCTTCTAGCTGTGGACTTCTGTTGGTACTTCCGGCGACACACGATGTAGATAATTAGGCCCATTATTATCATGAACACTAGGGCTCCTACTATCCAACCAATAACATTGTTGTTGGTTTCTTTACGGTCAGACTTTGGCGCCTGGGTAACTACAGCAAAACTACTGTATGTTGCTGAAGAAGAAAGATAAACATCATGTTATGCACAAAATATATATTACTGTCAAACATATATGTATTTGAAACGTTCTGATCATCGCGAGTGCCATTTCAGCATTGGTGAAATACTGTTCAGGACCTTAAATGTATTTTAAATATTGTTGTGTAATAATCCTGTTTTGATTTCAATGTCAGGTTTGACTGACTGACTGACTGTGTTTAGTTTTACGCCGCTTTTAGCAATATTCCAGCAATATCACGGCGGGGGACACCAGAAATGGGCTTAACACATTGTGCCCATGTGGGGAATCGAACCCGGGCCTTCGGCGTGACGAGCCAACGCTTTAACCACTAGGCTACCCCACCGCCCCCAGGTTTGACCATATTACAGGAACAATTTATCTTTTCCAAATGGTAAACTTAGAAAGCAAATTGTTTTAATCATCTCGATTGCCTTTTCAACATTAGTAGCAAAACATCTGAGCTATATATTTTTAAAATATTAATTAATTTGATTTAGTGTAACCAATCCAGACTGTATCCCAAAGTCAAGTCTGCGCATATTTCAGGGAAACATTGTCTTTATAGAACGGTGAAACTCCCGACGTTGAGGGGTAGAAAGGAAATTGACAGTTCTACCACGATGTAACAATTTAATGTGAGAGAAAGGTCAAAGATGTCTACGAGCATGGTTAGCGTGCCTATATACCCAGAACCACAACCCGTTATCATGTTTCTGGCACTGCAGCCCCTGGGTCACCCCAGTGTCTGGCCAACATGCTACATACCCCAGTATTTGATCACAAATCCCTTGTAGGTGACGCTGTAGTCGCTGTTGAAGTATAACTTAAGGTCAGGTCCGGTGGACGAGAACGATATGTCTGACAGGTCGCCGCATAATCGTTCAATTACAGTACTTGAGTTCGCTGAAAACCAAACATATGCAATGTCACTTTGATCTACTTTGATCCACTCGGATCAGATCAGCTTATTCAGCTTCTAACAAAGCATTTCGTGCAACTTTGTCACATGTGATGTTGCGACTCTTTGCGGTGATGGTCGAATAATGTATACAATTTTTAAATAACAAAACCCCAGAAAATATAACATAAAACATATATGTAAGGCACCAACAAAGAATATATTATTAATTAGTGTATTGTATCATATGATATTGGATTGTAACTCCAATGCTGATTCATTACCTCTAAAGTCGAGAAGTTGAATAGAGAAGTTTAACAGAGAAAGGATAGTATATGTAAGTAGACCAACCAGACAAACCTGAAATAATAGCAATGTACTCAAGACCTTCTTAATCATAATCATAATCGAGTTTTAGTTATTTAAGAAATTACAGGATCTTTGTAATGATTTCCTTTGTGAATAGGTATCAACTTTCATATGAAAGAATATATGAATATGTTATAACACCGTAAACACAGACGCGGATGCTCACCGTCGATCACGTCAAGGTAGTCATAGGCGCAGGAACTGTGGTCCTCCATCTGGAAGTATTCCACATTGATGTTGACCACCCACGTGCCCCTGGAGCTATCCTGTCCCGAGGTGGTCAACAGCCACGTCTCCGTGCTGTCGCTGTAACAGTGTAGACATTGATCGAAAATTGTAAATCATGTTAATCATCATAAATTGTGGTCTG